GGTGTCGGAACTTTTTTATCGGAAATTCCCTTCTTTTCATCGAGCTTTTTTCAAAATTGCATGAATATTAATATTTTTTGAGTTATTAACGAAAAACTAATTACCATTCTTTTTAATCTGATAACAATTGAAATTTTTTACCTGCACCAAAATCCTTCAAAAACATTTTTTTATGAGCTATCGCTCATATTTTTAGGACCTTTTTCTCTATTTTTCATGTTTTTGAACTTGTTGATTAGACTAATATCTAAAGTTTTAACATAAGAATATACTGTATGTTGGTAACCAGGTGATTCTGCGTCACCTGACGCGGCCACTTCACAGCAAATGCGATAACATGAATATAATTAACCGACAAGAGGTTTCAAAATGTGTTTTTTAGAAATATTAAATTTATTCATTTTATTATGAAAACAGGATAGTTGTACAAAATATTTTGAATGATATTTGTGTTAAACGTAAGTAAAACCTTACTTTTAACACTTTTAACATAAATAGCTATTATGTTTGATAACATGTTTGTATTTGATTGAAAAGTAATGATTCTATGTATTGTAGCACAATCCCTCTAACCACAGTTCATTGGAAGATCTAACTTCAGATCGAAACTCCTCTAGGATGGACTCGAGCATATCTCAGTTGAGGGATATTCTAGGGGAAACATCATCCAGGGAATCTCTAGTTGAGGTCATATTAGCTGCAGATTTCGATTTACAACGAGCTATTAACTATTATTATGCTCGTAATAATGATCAGTAACATCAGCTGTCCCATAAAAATAATTCCATCACCTTATATTCGTTATAAAAAATCGTTGTTGCGTTATTTACTCTTCAACAGTTTTTTTGTATGATTCTATCACAACTTGATGAGATTTTTAATTTTTATTGAATGATGTTCATTTATAATCCAAAAAATAGTATTATTTTGATACCATTGTTTTTTTACTGTGCCTTACGAGCTTTCCATAAATCAAAAATTTTCATTTTCATGGTATAATGGAATATGAACTGTTTCAATGTGTCTGTCATCGGCGTTGAAACTTTGTTGAAATTTAGGGCGAAATATTTTTTGAAGAAGAAATCCAAAACATTTACCTCTTCAAACGTATCTACATAGTGAGATTTGGCGAATATTTTCTGTTGAAAAGTTACTTCTCTGGATAATATCACAACGAACATTGAATTATATCCGTTAGAAGTTTGTGAAGGTTTCCTGACAGAAAATTCTTTCGGATGCTGAAATCAATCGGGTAAATTTGTACAGAGTGGGCTGAATTGGACACTTTTGAAGGGGAGACTCCTGTTTTCAAAGTAGATACAGTGTGACCCATTTAAAATGGAACCACCCCTGTAGAATGTGCATTTTTCAATCAAAGATTATCATCTGGAAAAATATTTCTCCANTCCTCGGAGTGAACTGTATTACCTAACTCTTGTCATAGTTTATACTGATCTTCCACAGGTTGGGCCATTCCTCTAATCTATCTGTTGTTCCAAGTATCTGGTGACGTGCTCTTGGCTTGTTGATCTCGCCAGCAGAACTGTGTCGTACAATGTTCATTGTAACAAAATTTGTATATGGAAAAACGTGTTCAATATCAGTTAAGGGTTTTCCATATGAAACGTGTTTAATATCAGGTTAGTTTATACAGTTTTGACAGTGATTCTGATGAAAAATCAGAGTGAAATCAGTTACATTATAATTTTGTCCATTTTTTAAAAACATTTCATTCATCCAACAGCAAAGCAAAACAGCAAATTGATTACTTTACTTATCCAAATATTCATGCAGTTATCCAATAACATACTTAGTTGTTTTAAAGTATATATACATTATCTATAAATTATCATAGACATGATAATATCAGCATCAATTTGTGTAGAAATAAGCAACAACCAAAAAAAAAAAAATTGAAATATCAATAAAAGCTGAAAATAAAAAATGAAAAAAATATTAATAACAAAACAAAAACGACCAACTCCCGCCAAACGGTCATCTCCAGCTAAAACCAATGAGAGAGGAAAGAGGAGATAGGTGAAAGCACTCGAATGACCTATAAATAGTCAGATCTCGGAGGAATAAGTCCAGTTATCATCCGAAGACGATTGTGGATACTAACAATCGAAACGTCGTGTTATAACTTGGTTTGGAATCTTTTAATTTTTATTTTTCATTTTTTGTTAATAATATTTTTTAATTTTCAGCTTTTATTATTATTCCAATTTTTTATTTTTTTGTGTATGTTATTTCTTTGTAATTTCAGTTTGTTGTTAAATAAAACTGTTATTTTCGGTTAAGGGTTGCGGTGGAGAGTTGAATAGAGCCACTCACATTCGACCTAACCTAGTAAAACATAACATGGCAAATCGAGCTAGATTACTTGAAAATAATCCTTCATCAACTGAAATATAATCTGCGGATCAGAGGATCAGTCAAATTCATGTATTTATCGCTATATATTTTCTTCTGAAAGCAGTGTGGGCTATAACAAAAATAGTGCTAACTTGAAAATACCCTCTTTTTTTTTTTCAGAAAAATAGTTGTACACGATACCGGACCTTTTCTGTTCAGAATATTGTTAGAATATTTATACAGTGGAAGGTTGAAGTGTGATTCATTGTCTTCTGAACAGTTGGTGGAACTGTTGCTGCTCGGCGACAGGTACGAAATGGATGCTTTGAAACACACCTGTGAATATGCCTTAGTGGGCATCATAGATGCTGAAACGGTTATATATTTTTTAAGTGTAGCTGATCAGTATAATGCCAGAATATTGAAAGTAAGTTCATAAGAAGGTTACACCTATGAATCATTCATTTATGGTATTGTCTTAGAACCATTGCTTGGGTTACGTGTCTCAACATCATGATTTAACAGAGTCTGATGAGTTTTTCGAACTCCCGATATCTCTGCAAGCCCAGATATTTGAAGAATGTGTCTTCAGTCAATCAAGTGGAAAACCAAGTGATTTTGATTTTGGTTTGGAGCATCTCCTTCCGTCTTCTCCTGCAAACAGTCCAGGATCCAATGAGATAACAAAGACATTGGAGTCGATGTTATTGACACCCGAAGTAAGTTTTGGATATTATTTTTTTTTTTTGATTGAAGTTGTTGAAAAATATTCGAAACATCCGAATAAACCGTCTGATATAAATGAAACAGATACAATCTGGTTATTAATTATTTGGAAACTATGCAACTCGAGACTGTATCCAATAATAATTTTTATTTCACATTTCTGTTATGAGTGATTAACAATATTTGAATTTGTTTCTGCAAAACATGACTTCTTGATACACATTGGGCAAACCAAGTATGATAATGATGATGATAATAATATGTTTATTATTTAAGAATAAAATTCTTGTTACAAACACAATGTCATAAATAAATTTCAATAGAAACATGAAGTATAAGTGTAAAAAATATAAATGATTAAAATAAAATATAAACTATACAGCGTGACTCACGGTCGATGGTAGGTTAGACGTTTCTGGAAAACGCAAAGCATGATTTTCCTGAAAATTTCACCTCTCACATTTCCTTACCTGTTCTATCGACCTAAAATATTTTCAGCATTGCGGCGTTGCCACTTCTATCAAAAAGGCCTAGCAATTATATATTTTTAAATGGAACACCCCGTATATTAATACATTTTTGGAAT